ATGCCCACCCCATCACCACTCTCTGCCCCCATTCCCCTCATGCCCCTGTGCCCTCACATATGATTTGCTCCAACCCCACATTCCTCATTCCCACCCCTTCTGTCAAGCCTTCTCCCAGCACCTCCCCCTCCAATCCCCAATGCCCTTACCTTCTCCTCTTCCAGCATTACCCTGTCCCCCCTCCTACTGACACCTCCCCTCCTGCCCTTTTCCTCATTGTCTCCACTTCCCCCCCTAGCATTTGTGTCTCCTCTACCCTGTCCCTTTGGTGCCTTCCCCTTTCTTCCCCCTCTCCTCTCCCCATCCGTACAAGTCCCTGCCACCCTTTCCCCTTTCTTCCTCCTCCACCTTCCCCCAGCACAAAAAGCCCCTTCCTCTCCCACCCCTTCCTCTTATTCTCCCCCCCTTGCCTTCAGCTTCTGCCTTGTAGCTTGCAGGGCTGCAGTCAGAGCCAGCCCAAGCTGCAGGGCCGGGGAGGGGCACCCCCAGGGTGCCGTATGGTGCTGCCAGGACAGGCGGGGGCACCCCCAGGGAGCCATGCAGTGCTGCAGGGCCGGGCGCCGCGCGGTGCTACCATGGCGGGCAGGGGTGCCCCCAGGGCTCCGCGCCGTGCTGCTGGGCCAGGTAGGGGTGCTGCCGGGCACCTCAAGGGTGCCGCGCCTTGCTGTCGGGCTGGGCAGGGGGACCCCCCGGCCCTGCCGTGCTGGGTGAGGATGTTCCCAGGCACCTCGGGAGTGCCACGCCGTGCTGCTGGGCCGCGCGGTGCTGCCAGGCCGGGTGGGGCCGAGGGCGCAAAAATGGCTCAGGTTAGCTGGCCCAAGACATCAGGGTGTGCCTGGGCACACCCCATGCACACGCCTATGAAGCCAGTAGCTGTATAAAATACTTGTTTCTGTATCACAGATATGTATTTTGTTAATACCTTTCCAGAGAAAAATCTACATTAAGATTTTGAGAGTATATACCAATAACTGCAGGGTACAAAATTATAAGAATGTTGTTTGTTCTCCCCAAAAAAATGTGACTTGAAAAATCCAGAGTTAAGGCTGAATTTAAACAATGGAACAATTTAAAGAAAATTATAGTCAAGGCACTCAAATGACTGTAACTGTCCTGTACTGTTGTCAGCCTCCATCCTCCTTCTTTATTCTCTTCCAAGTTCTGTTCCTGTAAATGATGCAAATAATTCCCTCCTCTCTCCCCCCACCCCTACTCTCTCTCTTCCAGGACTTTGAGAAATCGAGTTTATGGTTGAGATTATTTTGTTTTAGTCACTTGCTATCTCCCTCTTTTTTTTTCTTCATTTTTTTTGGTCCCCATTTTTAGAAGAAATTTTTAAAACATGGTAGCTGTAAAACTGTAGATCAGTGGAGGGACTTAGGTGTCTCTCTATTCCTGTGTTCCCTGTAAGATGAGCTCTTGAGCGGCCACCCAGGAGAGATTCAGATGCCGCCCAGATGATTAGCTGAGTGTCCACAGCCGGCAGGGTGTTTCTGCTGATGGTGCACATCTGCATATGCCTTGGTGCACAGAACAAAATTTGTTCTGCACTTGAATGGGAAAGAATTAGAGGGAACAGTGCCACACCCTCACCTCTCTAACAACCCCACATCTCTAATAATCCCACATCCCCATTTCTTCTTCTGTTCCTCCAACTTAGTGCTGTGGGGGAGTGGAGAGTACAAGTGGAGAGATGACTCTGCATAGGGAGATGAGTGAGTGGCAATGTGGGAGGGAACAATGAAGCCATGTCTACACTAGGAAAGTATTTCAAAATTACCAAATTTGACTTAACTCCTGATTTAACAAATTCAGTGTGTCCATACTACGGGGAAGCCTCAACATTAGTCAGAGGCTAGCTCCATTAATTTGGGCACGCTACTTCAGACTCAGAGCCCCAGGAAGCACTAGGGAGTAATTAGTTCAAATTACTCTACGGAGTAATTATTCCAAAATAGCGGCACCAGAGCATCCACACTAATGTTATTTCAAAATAACTATTTTGGAATTAGCGTTACTCCTGATGAAAAGCAGGTGTACAGATTTCTAATTCCACAGCCTGTTCTTTTGAAATAACAGGTGTGGTAGTTTGGAGGCGCCGCTTATAAATTCAACTTTGGGGGAGTTATTTCAGAAAAAAGTCCTAGTGTAGACCAGGGCTGAGAGAGTCATCCATATTTCTCTAGTCCTTCATCTTCACCACTGATGTTACAATGGTATCTCTTAAGGACACTAGCTGTTGATTTATAATTATAACAAAAATATTCTGACAAATAGAAAAAAAAATCTCTAAGCTTTAGATAGAGTAAGCATGCGGTATGGAAGCTGAAGAGCCTGTAGTTCTAATGTTCAGATTACCTAGGTCCAAAAAATTGGGATGAATTTCAAAATGATTATTTTTATCATGTTTGCTTGGAAAAAATAAACATTTCACCCAGAAAATGACCCACAAAATTGTTGTCTTAAGAGCTGATAGGACAAATTTAGACAGTAATTAATTAAGAACATAAGAATGGCTATACTGGGTCAGATCAACGGTCCATCTAGCCCAGTATCCTGACTTCCAACAGTGGCCAATGCCAGATGCCCCAGAGGGAGAGAACAGAACAGGGAATCATCAAGTGATCCATCTCCTGTCACCATTCGCAGCCTCTGACAGGCAGAGGCTAGAGATACCTTTCCTACCCATTCTAGCTAATTGCCACTGATGGACCTAACCTCCATGAATTTATCTAGTTCTTTTTGAAACCTGTTAAATTCCTGGTCTTCAGAACATCCTCTGGCAAGGAGTTCTACAGGTTGACTGTGTGCTGCGTGAAGAAAAACTTCCCTTTGTTTGTTTTAAGCCTGCTGCCTATTAATTTCATTTGGCGATCCCTAGTTCTTATGTTATGGGAACAAGTAAAAAAAACTTTTTCCTTATTCACTTTCTCTGTACCAGTCATGATTTTATAGACCTCTATCATATCCCTCCTTATTCTCCTCTTTTCTAAGCTGAAAAGTCCCAGTCTTTTTAATCTCTTCATATGGGACCTGTTCCAAAGCCTTAATCATTTTTGTTGCCCTTTTCTGAACCTTTTCCAATGCCAATATATCTTTTTTGAGATGAGACCACATCTGTATGCAGTATTCAAGATGTGGGTGTACCATAGATTTATATAGAGGCAATAAGATATTTTCTGTCTTATTCTCTATCCCTTTTTAAATTATTCCTAACATTCTGTTCACTTTTTTGACTGCTGCTGCAGTTAAACATTGAAAAAAGGGATTTTAGTTATGTTTGTACAAATCTCAGCATAAGCTTACTATGGAGACCTTACTGGCACCACCATAATAATATTTACAAAGCTGATAAAAAAGAAAATGAAAGGTTAATAAATCTTTTATTGTTTTTATATAACTTAACAGTTATATAACCAAAATAGTATTCAGTTCTAATCAGCTGCTTGTTTGTGATATTTTAAATCTTTAAATTGTATCTAATCTGTCTTTCGCTTGTGTCCTTCCACAAAGTTCTGATATTACTTGATTACAGAAGCAAATGCATTTTTAAGGTTAGGAGATGGGAATTAACTCTATATTCAGCTCTGCCATGGACTTTGTCTCTGTAGGCAAGTAACTTCACTTGTCTGTGCTGTTATCTTTCCATCTGTGAAAATGGTGATATTGCATACCTACCTCGCTGGTGACTTGAAAGTGAATGTTAGCAAAATATTTCAATGACTCCAACAAAAGCTGTGAGATGTGTAATTGTTTGTGTTGAGGCCCCAATCCGATCATGCTAGGTACTATTTAAACACACAGAAAGACAGGTTTACAGTCTAGATATAAGATAAGAAGTACAAACAAATATGAGGAAGCATAAGACTACATGAAGAAATATAAGTATATAACATTATGATAACTTAAAATGTGAAATTGTATTTCTTATTATGTACGTATAATATGCCTAAGTGCTTCATTTGCAGGTTTGATGAAAATTTTAAGCTCCAAACGAGTGACATATTTTATTCTTTCTACAGAAGTCAGCAAAAATTACACCCTGTGCACTGTGCAAGTCTTTGAGATCTTCAGCTGAGATGATAGAGAGCACAAATAATTTAGGAAAGACAGAACTCTTTTGCTCTGTTAACTGCTTGTCAGCCTACAGAGTTAAAATGGTTACCTCTGCAGGTAATTTTATTTCTTTGTTTTTGTTTTACATCCATAGTTCCATCTAGTTTAGACAAAATGTAATTCATTTTGAAAGCAAACTTCATAATAATTGAATAATAAGCTGAAATCAGAGCTATGCATTTTCTTGTTGTATTCATAACTATTAAGTTTACAGTGCTTACAGTATAAATACTGTCTTACTTTGTGTGCTTGATATAAACTTACTTGTAGAGTATCCACATCTGTAGCCACAAAAATGAGCCATGGTTGTCCACATTGATACCCGCGGGCGTGGATACCCATGGGTATAAAGTGAATATCCGCAGATTTGCAGGATTCTACTTACTTACATGCTTAGGATGCTGATAGCCCTAAAAGTGGCTCTGTCTGTTTTTTTGATATCTAATAAACTCTTTGTTTCTTGGCCTTTGTTTGCAAAATACTCCAATTCTTTGTAGGCAAATGTCTTTCTCAGCCAATTAGCCATGGGATTTTACCAAGGACCATATCTTCTTTCATATTCTGTGTACACTCTGTTCCAATGTTTCAATTATAATTTTAAAAAATCATAGCTTTTCATCTAGTCAAAAGCACTTGGCTGACTTGAATCACTCTAGTACTTTGCTTCCTGTATCTTGTGCATAGTTCATGATATTTCTGCCAAACCCCTCAAAGGTATTATTGTTTAAACAGCAACTTTTGTGTTTTTTCTTTTGTTTTAAGAGGGGTGAGTGGTTTATGTGTCACAAATGACAGAAGTCAGAAGTTTTGCATTTTAATATCCCAGATTGGGCTCGTTTCCCCATTGGCTTTAGTTTCTGTCCCTCAGATGCTTCTCCTGTAAAGTGAGCAAATTCTTACTGACCTACCAGCATTACTGTGGGCATTAATTAAGTAAAGTTTTACACAGGCACTAAGTACCAGTATTGCAATGCTCATGTCAACGTACCATAAAGTGCTCAATTTCTCCTAGCTGCTGCTGCTTATTTGCTAGGAATTTGGTCATATTCTTTCTTAAACATATATCTAAATTATGAATCCTTGTTGGTTTGGGTACGCACAGTATAAAGCTATTTGCAGTGCTTTTGTTTGTTTTTATTAACTGGGTTTTCTTTTTTCATTGTGTTTTCCATCAGGTGTCCAAGTTCAGTGTAACAGCTGTAAAACTTCAGCAATCCCTCAGTATCACCTGGCTATGTCCGATGGGAGCATACGCAATTTCTGCAGTTACAGCTGCGTTGTAGCTTTTCAGGTATCATGTCTAAGACTTTCTTTCAAAGTTCAATTAATAGAGTGGCAGACTAGTGGTATAATCACCAAGAGATGGGTTTCCTGTTGCAAAATGTACCTTCCTCAATTGCTTCCCAACAGAACTTGTTCAACAAGCCTACAGGAATGAACTCCTCTGTGGTGCCCCTGTCACAGGGTCAGGTTATTGTGAGCATTCCCTCGGGGGCAACAGTATCGGCATCAGGTGGCACTACCTCGACTGTCTCCCCCAGCTCCATGAGCAGCTCAGCTGCAGCTGGTCTCCAGAGGCTCGCTGCTCAGTCCCAGCAAGTCACTTTCGCCCGCACGGTTGTGAAACTCAAGTGTCAGCACTGTAACAGACTGTTTGCAACCAAACCTGAACTGCTTGACTACAAGGTAATGAAGATCAGGGCTTTGCATGCAGCTGTTTCTGAATCAGCAATATACACGTAACTTGGGGCAAGAATCTGGAAGTAGTCCCTTGGTGTTGCCAGTTATTGGGATTTGGGTGTTAGGTTCAGTACAGCAAAACCACTATCACAATTGGCTTTGACTTGCTTCTTTTGTGATTGCCTCCAAAGGAAGGCAAAGGGTTAAATGACTAGGTAGGCAGCATTCCTTCTTGCCCCCAGAGATGATCCCTGTGGTCTGGCGTGAAGCTTGTTGGTGGGTGCATCTATGGGAACCTCGTGCAGCTGTGGCCTGTGCCACACCCTTTCTAGGGACTTCCCTCTCCAGTATTATCAAATGGTGACTTTCACCAGCACTAGAAATCCCTTGCTTGTTTGTTTAACTGATAGCTCAGTGGTTTGAGCATTGGCCTGCTAAACTCAGGGTTGTGAGTTCAACCCTTCAGGGGGTCATTTAGGGATGTGGGACAAATCTATCAGGGATGGTACTTGATCCTGCTGTGAGGGCAGGGGATTGGACTTGATGATCTCTCAAGGTCCCTTCCAGTTCTATGAGATAGATAGGTATAAAAATACTGGTGCTTTGGGGTAGGGGACAAGACTTGGCATAATAGAATTATTCTCACGTATTACAGGGTAAAATGTTTCAGTTTTGTGGGAAGACCTGCTGTGATGAATATAAGAAGAGAAGTAGTGTAATGGCAATGTGTGCATACTGCAAAATTGAGAAGATTATCAAGGAGACAGTGCGATTCTCAGGCATAGACAAGCCTTTCTGTAGTGAAGGTAAGACTAAGAAGGCCTATGGGTGAGGTAAATCCTAGAAAGCATCTAATTCATTTAGAGTTACAAAATGAGAAATTTCATCTATTAACCTAACTTGGGTTTGTCCATGCTTTTCACTTTTATGATCAGTTTTAATAAATTATTATAAAGTCACAATTAAGTGCAAGAACTACACAAGCATCTTAATTTGATATAAAATAAATGTATTTTTTGTTCTCCCTTTGATGTCTCTTAGGTTGTAAACTGCTCTATAAACACGACTTGGCTAAACGCTGGGGTAACCACTGTAAAATGTGCAGTTACTGTTTACAGGCTTCCCCCAAATTGGTCCAGAATCACTTTGGGGGGAAGATGGAGGAGTTCTGCTCTGAAGAATGCATGTCTAAATTTACGGTTTTGTTCTATCAGGTAAGTAGCTTTCATGCATCACCTTCTGAAATTGAAATGCCATAACCAAACTCTTACAGCCAAAGAGCTGTGTGAAACTCTACAGTAGACTTCTGGTCTTGCATATCTGTGGGAGCTGAATGAAAAAGAAATCATTGCTCTTTGTGGTTTTGAATTTGCTGTCAGAATTAGATATTTGGCTCTTCAGCCCTAGTTATTCTCTGTGGGTATGTCTACACTACCCTCCTAATTCGAACTAGGAGGGTAATGTAGGCATACCGCACTTGCAAATGAAGCCCGGGATTTGAATTTCCCGGGCTTCATTTGCATAAGCCGGGCGCCGCCATTTTTAAATCCCGGCTGGTTCGAACCCCGTGCCGCGCGGCTACATGCGGCACGCCGGCAGTTCGAACCCCGTGCCGCGCGACTACACGCAGCATGGAGTAGCTAGTTCGGATTAGGCTTCCTAATCCGAACTAGCTGTACTCATTCCACGGGGAGTACAGCTAGTTCAGATTAGGAAGCCTAATCCGAACTAGCTACTCCATGCCGTGTGTAGCCGCGCAGCACGGGGTTCGAACTGCCAGCATTTAAAAATGGCGCCGGCCGGCTTCATGCAAATGAAGCCCGGGAAATTCAAATCCCGGGCTTCATTTGCAAGTGCGGTATGCCTACATTACCCTCCTAGTTCGAATTAGGAGGGTAGTGTAGACATACCGTGTCTGTCTTGGGCATGCACATCTCACTAACTTATGCATCTATAATTCTAAAATACTCTTTCGGTGTTGCTGCCAGGCTTTGCTGGGAAGATATGCAATGGCAGAAAGGGGAATTGGATGCCCAGGTTCCCTTTGTGCCTTTGAATGCCCCCTGCCCCACAAAAATACAAGTTGTGAACACCGGTTGTATATATAAAGGAATTTCATGGGAAAATACAATCTTACATTTTCATTCCTTAGGCAAGCTTTGGGCAACCTAAGCTAGTGAATGGGCCATATGATTGTCCCTCCTTCATCTCAGTGGGCCGCAAGATTGTTGTAACCAAGATGGTCTCCTGGAATAGGGTAGTTCTGCTAACTGTGCTTACTCACTTAGAATTTGTGGGGTGTGCCAATTGAACTATAGCAGTGCTTTGATTGGAGCACATTGCTCTCATAGTCAGTGATGTATGCAATCAGCACACCCCTCATGTCATGCACACCCCTCATGTCATGTGTCTTTGCCTTAGGTGAGTGTCACTTTAGTAAAACCGGTAGGAAAAAAGCCATGCAGATGGAAACCAGCGGAATCTGGCAACCCGGCGCGGGGATAACAGTAAACAGAATGTTTTCCAGGTACCACACAGAATCCTGATGTGGTGGTGCCAATAAATGTTGCAGCTATTCTAAAAGTGCCAGCATATAAGCTGAAAGGTTTATTTGGAGCTACATGGGAAGGGAGTCACTTACATGCAATCCTTGTTATCCTGATATTTGAGTGTGTTTAATTTTTTCCCATGCTGTTTTTTTTTTAGATGGCAAAGTGTGATGGTTGTAAGAGACAAGGTAAACTCAGTGAGTCTATGAAATGGCAAGGGGAGATCAAACATTTTTGCAACCTGCTTTGTATTTTGATGTTCTGTAATCAGCAAACTGTGTCTGAACCCCCACCTCAGAACAACACAGGTAAAATAGGATGTGAATTAGAACATAAAAACAGAACCATTGCTCTGGATAATGTAGGATGACCATTTCGTGGAAAACTCGGTGGACCTTTATATAAATAATATAACATACTGCCTCCTACTGAGAGACTGGCCAGTGGACTAGCATCTTGGCAGGAGATTAGACTAGACTCTTGCAGTCTCTTCTAACTCTAGGATTCTAGATACAGGGCAATGTTTATCAACCTTTTTTTGCTGGCAACCCCCTTTGGGCTTAAAAAAATTGTGATTCCTCTACTAAGCTGTATCCTGAGCTCTGCTGCCCAGGGCTGAAGCCTATAAATTAGTTTCATGGGCAGTTGCCCTTTCCTGATTCCCTCTAATGCAAGCCCTGCACTTATGATCCCTCCAAATCCAGGCTGAGAAACACCAATATAGGGCTGTTCTGCCTCTGATTATTTTAATCCTCTATAGCAGAGAAACGAGATTTATTGGTATGTTAAGTGGATACAAATGCTCAACATGGAGAAAATGAGACAAATTTAAAATTACATTTGAGAGTCACTGTTTGTGGAAGCACATTTGATTAGAATAATAACTGTTGTGGAGATGTCAGGCACCAGGTTTTCTTAAAGCGATCCATGTAGCATCATCACATTTGGCAGAATTTAAGCATTCATTACAAAAAAATTGTAAGCTTCTTGATTGTGAAGACAAACTTTCAAATGTGAAGAAGCGTCAGGGGGTAGCTGAGTTAGTCTGTACAGGATAAACTTAAAAAACAACAAATGGTCTGGTAGCACTTTATAGACTTCAAAACATGTAGATGGTATCATGAGCTTTCGTGGGCACAGCCCACTTCTTCAGATGATCGGAGTTTTGAGTTTAGGATGTTCAGATCCAAAATAAATAGGGAGGGGGGGGGAAGGGGAAAAAATGGAAAGGGGTGGGAAACAAGGAGCAGAGGGTATGAAAATATCAAAGGGAAAACTAAATAGACAGAACTGGTAATCAGTAAGCACCTAAAATTTGGATAGTTAAAAGAAGCAGATAAGGATCATAGGATAGCAGTTAGAGAGGAAGGGTACTAACACACTTCAAATGTGAATACTGTTTAACCAATGAGGGGTTGTTTTCCCAAATGTATAGACATTTTGAAACAATGTCTCTGTGCTCCAGTCTCCTTAGGTGTTGTTGACTCAAAGTACTAGTGTTTTAACTTGATGTAAGGTGTAGCTTTTCCTCACTGATTGTTTGAGCAGATGAACTGGGAAGGAGGGTGGAGGTTCACCCTAAAGGAATAGGAATTGTAAGTAGTAATGAAGTGTTAGAGGAGAGGAAGGAAGGAAGAGAAAGGGAAGAAATAGTAGTCCTCTAAAAGAGGGGCATATTCTGCCAGTGAATGATAGCAAGTGCAACACAGTAAGTTACTCACCAAACAATAGTATTAAAGTGTATGGTATGCTTCCAGGCCAGATTCTACCCTTGATCCTTGTGCACATCTCCTGTTGATAGTAGAGGGGCTTTTGCTATGGATTGAGGGTAATTAATTTATACACCTGCCGTTACTAAAACATTTGACACTCCTGGGCTGTGTCTACACTGGCATGAATTTCCGGATCTGCTTAAAACGGAATACTATTCCGTTTTCAGTTTTTCCGGAAAAGGAGCGTCTACATTGGCAGGCTGCTTTTCCGGAAAAGCATCTGTGGCCAATGTAGACGCGCTTTTCCAGAAAAGAGCCCCGATCGTCATTTTCGCGATCGGGGCTTTTTTCCGGAAAAGACTACTGGGCTGTCTACACTGGCCCTTTTCTGGAACAGTGTTCCGGAATAAGGACTTATGCCCAAGCGGGAGCAGAATAGTTTTTCTGGAATAGCGGCTGATTTTGTACAGTAGAGCATCGTTGCTTTTCCGGAAATTCAAGGGCCAGTGTAGACAGCTCGCAGCTTATTCCAGAAAAGCGGCTGATTTTCCGGAATAAGTGGCCCAGTGTAGACACAGCCCTGGTCTAATGTAAAGTTTCTCAGTTAGTGTGTGTTTTAAATGGCAAAGGTAGTGATCTGTATCAGGGCCCTGATTTGCAAAAGTTAGACATTCCTGCAACTTTATCTGAAACTGATACGCTACAGGTGTGCAACACTTTTGAAAATGTAGCCCTATGTTTGGAATAGTACCTGAGACTGCAGGGAACAGTACCTCTGGTGAAATATGGTAGATGTGGGGATTATGAATGTCAAAGACCTAAACAGACTTTTGGCAGTGAAGAGTCTTGTAAGACAGTGTTACAATGCACCTGAGTTATTTCAATTGTAAGGTTTTTGGGGCATGCGTGATCTCTTATACCACTGTTTTGTGCAGTGCCTAGCACAGATGAATCCCATTCTCAGTTGGCCTCTGGGCACTTATGTAATAAAACATCATAATACAAAATAATACAAATGCAAAGGCCTTTTCGTGCTGTGATGAACTCCTGACATATCCCACTGACTGGGTAGCATGGTTTGCATATGTAATTTAAAGAAACAGATTTTTTTTTTGTAATTTAAATTGAAAACCTGCAGTTGACACTTACTCACTTATAGTAAAAAGTTGTGTATGTATTGGAGTGGAGGGTGGGTCTTGCATAATATGTTACACCAGTTAATAGTAATATTAATGCTTACATTATCTTTCTTCTGCTCATTCTAAACAGCAAATCTTTCCATGGCACCAACTTCTTCATCAGGCCCTCCTTCTCTAAGGAAGGATTCCACTCCAGTTATAGCCAACGTGGTATCCCTAGCAAGTGCGCCTGCTGCCCAGCCCACAGTTAACTCCAACAACGTCTTACAAGGTAGGATTTCTCAGTACAAACCCACAATGTAAATACTTTGAAATTATGTATTTTGGTTGCTCATAGATCTGATATGTAGCATCATAGAATCATAGGACTGGAAGGGACCTCAAGAGGTCATCGAGTCCAGCCCCCCGCCCTCAAGGCAGGACCAAGCTCCGTCTACACCATCCCTGACAGATGTCTATCTAACCTGTTCTTAAATATCTCCAGAGAGGGAGATTCCACCACCTCCCTTGGCAATTTATTCCAATATTTGACCACCCTGACAGTTAGGCATTTTTTCCTAATGTCCAATCTAAACCTCCCCTGCTGCACTTTAAGCCCATTACTCCTTGTCCTGTCCTCAGAAACCAAGAGGAACAAATTTTCTCCTTCTTCCTTGTGACACCCTCTTAGATATTTGAAAACCGCTATCATGTCCCCCCTTAATCTTCTTTTTTCCAAACTAAACAAACCCAGTTCATGAAGCCTGGCTTCATAGGTCATGTTCTCTAGACCTTTAATCATTCTTGTCGCTCTTCTCTGTACCCTTTCCAATTTCTCCACATCTTTCTTGAAATGTGGCGCCCAGAACTGGACACAGTACTCCAGCTGAGGCCTAACGAGTGCAGAGTAGAGCGGCAGAATGACTTCACGAGTTTTGCTTACAACACACCTGTTGATACAACCTAGAATCATATTTGCTTTTTTTGCAACAGCATCACACTGTTGACTCATATTCAACTTGTGGTCCACTATGACCCCTAGATCCCTTTCCGCCATGCTCCTTCCTAGACAGTCGCTTCCCATCTTGTATGTATGGAACTGATTGTTCCTTCCTAAGTGGAGCACTTTGCATTTCTCTTTATTAAACCTCATCCTGTTTACCTCTGACCATTTCTCTAACTTGCTAAGGTCATTTTGAATTATGTCCCTATCCTCCAAAGAAGTTGCAACCCCACCCAGTTTGTTATCATCTGCAAACTTAATAAGCGTACTCTCTATCCCAATATCTAAGTCATTGATGAAGATATTGAACAGTACGGGTCCCAAAACAGACCCTTGAGGAACTCCACTTGTTATCCCTTTCCAGCAGGATTTAGAACCGTTAACAACAACTCTCTGACTACGGTTATCCAGCCAATTATGCACCCACCTTATCGTGGCCCTATCTAAATTATATTTGCCTAGTTTATCAATAAGAATATCATGCGAGACCGTATCAAATGCCTTACTAAAGTCTAGGTATATGACATCCACCGCTTCTCCCTTATCCACAAGGCTCGTTATCTTATCAAAGAAAGCTATCAGATTAGTTTGGCATGACTTGTTCTTCACAAACCCATGCTGGCTATTCCCTATCACTTTATTACCTTCCAACTGTTTGCATATGATTTCCTTAATTACCTGCTCCATTATCTTCCCTGGGACAGACGTTAAACTGACCGGTCTGTAGTTTCCTGGGTTGTTCTTATTCCCCTTTTTATAGATGTCCTGCTACTGTTGAAGTCAACAGTCCTAGTTCTTTGTTTTTCACTTATACCACTGCAGAATGAATGTAAAATGTCACCAAATTAAAATGGCAACAGTTTCACGTTCACTTTGCATGGGTGCAAATAACTGCAATGAAATGTTAATGAAATTAGCAGAGAATTGGGCCCAATGGGAATTAATACTTATGTAGGATTAGGTCCTTACTGTTAGGCTAGGGATCTCCAACCTTTTTAAGCATGAGATCACTTTTAAGTGCAATCCAGGATCTACCTCAGACCCAAATACCCTTGCCTTGCCTCCTTCATGTGTTGTCTCTGAGGCCCTGCCTCTGTTCACTCCATCCTCCCTCCCTCCCCCATCCTCCCTCCTTTTCACCAGGCAGGGGCAGAGGCTTGGGGCACAGGATCTGGCCTTTGGCTAAAAGATTTGGAGTGGTAGCGATGCTCTGAACAAGCCTGGGGCAGGGAATTGGGGTGTAAGAGGGGGTTCAGGGTGCAGGGTTCAGGGTTCAGGGAGAGAGTTTGGGTCCAGGGGGGCTCAGGGCTAGGGCAGGGGCTTGGGGGTACATAACTGGGGCAGGGGTTTGGAGCTGGCAGCAGCTGGACACTGCTTACCACAGGTGGCTCCTGGATGGTGCAGTGGGGCTAAGGCAGGCTCACCCCTGCCTTGGCCCTGTATCACTCTCAAAAGCAACCAGCAAACTCCCTCTATCTCAAGCCCTGTTGTACCCCCCCCCCTCCGCCATTCCATCTGTGGAGATAGAATACAGGGTGGGAGGGGGGAACCCTGACATCAGCGCCCCCTCCTCTCCCTTCCCTGCCCTGCACAGCAAGCAGGAGGCTCCTGGAAGGGGGAGGCAGCACCAAGGCAAAGGGCAGGAGATGCACAGCAGTGGGGGGAGAGGTAGCTGCTGTGCTGTGCTTGACAGCTTCTTGGCCAAACCTGTCAGGATCACCTGTCAGAGGCTCCAAGATCTACCAGTCGATCCCGATCTAATGTTTAGTGACCACTGTTAGGCAATACAGAAATTAAGTTTATGTTGTTCTTATTAACAGGTGCAGTTCCTACTGTGACAGCAAAGATCATTGGAGATGTAAGTTTTGTAAAAGAACCCTTCCACCCTCCCCCTCTGCTTTCTTCAGACATACTGATTTGTTACAAATATTATCCAAACATTGAATACCTCTGTTACATATGTTACATTGCAGCAGTTATTTCAGCTCATTTTTTTTTCTGACGGTGGCTGAGATTTAAAATACATCCAGCTTGCTGATAACCTTCATCAATAGCTAAAATTTGTACTGTACATAAGTCTTCCTTCTGATGTACACTGGTAAACTGATGGTATGATGTTCTAAACCACAATATGCACATGAATGCAAATGTGGAGTTTCTATTGTAATCTGATTATGCTGTTAGAATAGATGATGAAAGAAAGAGAGCAATTCAGCATAATTTGCAGGAAATTAGGAGCAAAACTAGTCAGTCTGCTTACTGTCAAAAAGTGATCCCAAATTTGACATGGTTGGCATGTTCTACTTTTATATATTTTCCCTTGTAGTGACTTCACATTCGTTTGCCTAGTTGAGGGGATATTTCTAATTGTATTCCCCACGTGGCATCTGAAAACTAAGCTGTGTTCATTCGGAGTCTTAGATATTTGTTAAACAGTTGAGGTTTCAGAATCAGAATGTAGCCAACATTATTTGTTATCTAAAACCAGACACATTCTTGCAGGTTTATTCCCCACAGTGTTGACAGTAATACAGGCAGTCCCCGGGTTACGTACAAGATAGGGACTGTAGGTTTGTTCTTAAGTTGAATTTGTATGTAAGTTGGAACTGGTACATATTGTAGGGGAAACTCTAGCCAAACATTTCTCCAGAGCTCAGTTTTATTCTCCCACACCTCACTTCCCTCAGTCCTTTATTCTCAAGCTGAGGTGTCTGCTGAGAAAAGCCGCTCCACCTCTCCCTGGTCTGCTGGGGTGGGGGGGCGCTAGCTTCGCATCTCCCTGGTCTGCTGGGGGGAAGCAGCTAGTG